AGCGTGTTGGCGGCATCACTGGCGTCCCTGGCCGCCTCCCACGGCGGACAGCCGCAGTTCACGTCCCCACTGCCGTCGCCCTTGTCCCTGGTCACGTCGCAAAACTCTTCCCCGTCGCCGTTCGCCAACGGCAACAACCACGGCTCCAACAGCAACAGCAGTAACGGCAGCACTCGCGGCGTCGGTCGCAGTAGCCCAGCTCACTTGTCGCCGCCGCAAACCCCAGGCCCGGGCCCGGGTCTCATCGCCTACCCTCAGCACCTCGTTCCCCACCCCCACCAGCATCTGTTCATCAAGCCAGAGTCAGAGCTGGTGAAGCACGAATACGTAGAGTGACGCTCTCCGTCGAGTGTTGACTCTACCGATTGACTCCTCTCCCCATGGTTGACCATGCTTGAATGGGTATTAGACGGAGAGCTTGTCTGTTAGAGCTTTTTTACGACACGTCACCATCTCCTCCCAGTTTTCAATGTGACGTTGGAGTGGCAACCATTTTATAGGCTCTGACTTATCTGCAGCTCGTGAATATGAAAATACCGTTTGCGACAGCTCTGTAAATGACGTGCTATCATCAGCAATAAAATGATGAAATTCGGCCAGAGATCCGTTTCCGCTCTCCCTCAGCCTCTCCCCAGTGAAACGTTTTCTTTTGCCCGACATCTTCGGTTTTTTTTTTTCAATTTTGATACTTCGATGTGTTCTCTGATTTGTTGCCGACGACGCACTTTGGTTGTTCCTCGCAGCGGTTTGAGTTCACAAACAGCTTGAGTCTGACAACGCCTGATATTTGTGATTGATGAGCATGATTTTAGTTTCTAAGATGGAGCTGACGAGGCTTCGATCCAACTCCTTGGTACGTTGTTTTCGAGTCCTGAGTTGAATGTGTAAATTACTTCAAACTCTTCTGTGGCTATTATTTGAAGATCAAGCTTTAGAGTCGTTCGGTTCGGTCGGACTGTTCTAGGTTTCCCCGCCACCCTTGAGATGAAATCTTTTCGTTTTGGTCATCATTCCCCGAGGGAAAGTTCATATCCGGAAGTCAGAATATTTTCTACAGGGAGGTAAAGGAAGGAGTATTTTAGTAAGTCGCCGTTGAAATACGCATGGAAAAGAGCGTTAACGAACTGGAAATACTACTGCTCCAGCATAGCAAAATGCGAGCTGCCGAGGTTTTTTTGGGATCCCGGCAGAGTTTTTATGCATTGGTTCACGTATACCTTGTAGCTCACGTATCCTCCATCGCCGAAAAGCAATTGTTTGTTTATCGTAATTTCTAAAATTCTTTGTTTGCTAGATTGAAGGCTGTGATTACGACTCGGACCCCATTGGAATGAGAGGTCTGAGGTATAGGAGACCGAGTGGGGTTCAGAGCCTTGGCTCTTCGGAATATTCAGGACATGTTGCGTAGAACTTTTGAATAAGGATTCTGTGATTACAGTACAGTACATCGTTTGATGTTCCTCGATCGTCTGCGCTTGTTGTGCCCTGGTCCCTGGCAATGCGTGCAATCCCTCTGACAAACGCAAGAACAGATGCTGTGGGGGGAGAGAATTCAGGAGCCGAACCGGAAAGTTGATCAATTAGCGGTACCCTTCAGCTGTTGAAACGTTTGCCGTGTGAGTTTCTGTCGCTACCTCAGTATTATTTATTTCGGTGGATACCTTTTGATCATTTGATCCCTGGTGAAGTACAGATGTTCATTTAGCAGCCTGTATCACGCGAGTTCTTCTTTGAATTGCGGAGTTTTTTGGGTGTGGATGCTATAGGTGACGACTTGGTTCGGAGCGGGCTTGGAGGTGTGATCCATGTGGCCCCCGTTTATGCCCTGATGTCATCCCTGATATTGCTTTCTGTTTGTCACCTGCGCGATTTTTGAATAAGTTTGAGATTACCAATATTATGATACAGTATATAATGAATGGGTTCTTGAAGAAAATGCCGATTCGCTCCTCATTTCTTTTTTCCGAAGTCGCAATCAATCGTTCTCATCAGAAAGCAAGCACCACTTCGCATCGAGCAAGTTCCGATTGCCGCATCTATCATGAGTCATGACTGAGACATTATGGATGTCCGCTGAAGGAAGACCACCAAACAATCGACACTTCTACTCATATACAGTACTGTACATACGCACGCATGAGTGCCGTATTCATGCCATCCATATTTTAATTATTCCTGAAACATTGACAAAATATCCCGTCTTCCGCTTTTGATCCACCATCTCTGAATGAAGTCTGCAGTTTTGATGAGAGCTACAGTACAGTACATTACAGTATTTCCAAAACTAGTGCTTGCTTGCGATTACTATAATTCCTGCGAGGCCATATTGTGAAGTTCAGCGAAGAGACAAAACTGAAACGCACAAGATAGAATATATCGAATGTCATGCATAAAAGCTGCACACAGCACGACGGGATAAAATTGCCACATTGGGGAAAAATCCTCTTATTTCAAAATGACATAAATTGAAAATTTCCCAATGCTTGACCATCCTCTGCAGCAATCAGATGATCATGCATCTCGTTTCTCGCATTGCGATCAAATTTGGCAAATTTCTTCTTTTTGCAAGAAGAAGAAAGACTTGCACACAGTGATCAGTCTTATCGAATAGCGGTCACTTGATGGACGATATTGTCAAGTTAAAATGCCACAGAGGACGGGTAAATACTTTCAAAAGTTGTTAAAAAACAAATCGAAAATTTTCCAAATTTTGTAGAAGATTCTTTTGATGATTGAAAGCTCCGCTGCAGACCTGCAGAAATGTCGCACGTACGAAGTTGGGATGAATAAGAATATTGACGAAGCATCCGTATTTGATCTCTCGGTTCACCAGTACAATATACAGTATTACGCACAGTTTCTAATTTGTAATTTTTTTTAAACAGCTGTTCTCATAAGAGGCACCACCAGAACGTCTTTTAGCTAGAAATTACATTAACCGAATCATTCCTTTTTTCTTACTAAAAACGTGCCTATTCGTGTATCCGTGAAATCTGTAAAATATTGCCGTTTAGCTCACATATTTCGAACTAAGCAGGCATTTTCATCCAGGAGCAATGTGAACATGAAGTGAGTTTATTTACTTTACGCCTACCGTATTTATAATTTTCCTCGAGCGAAAGGAGATGATATCAGTCGAATAGATTCTTCCCGGAACTGTCGCATTTTTTGCGAAACGTTCGATTTGCTGCGATTCATTCAGTGAGGGGTTCATATATAGCCATTTCTGAAGAGCCTCGAGCGTCGGCAGATATAAATCTTCCGTTCGATGGATGTTTTCAAACCGGTTAATTGCGACGTTCGGGAAGCGTTGGAAAAAAGGCATATATGAACCCCTCACTTCAATGAATCTCAGGAAATTGAACGCGGGTGCCTTGCATAGAACGCACTCTAAACCAAGCAATATACAATGAAAAATCCTATTTATATTTGATCATCACAGATGTCACTCTAACAAACTCAGAATTCGCACAATCCCTTTGCACTTCAGGATCGGAGATCGACGCTCAGCTGATATGCTGCAGCTCGAAATTACGGATAGAATATTCGAGAGAGCCATTCTAGACTTTTGTTTCTTCACTTGAAAGAAGGACGAATATATTTTTGAAGGCTAATGTAGCGAAGGCCGTGACGGTGAATCTCGATCATTCCAATTACTGATGAACAGATATTCTTCCTGTGCAGTGCTCTCCAAACCCTGCAGTAAAAGTTGCTTCGCTACGAACGCGCTGTCGTTCGAAATTTTCAGGAATAAATGAAACTCTTTTGCAATTCCGGTATTCAGGACGGCTTCCATATTCACCGAAAATACAATTTCATGCAATTCAAGAGGCAAAAAATAATGCAACCCATGCGGCTAAAAAAAATCTCCTAGCACTCCGGCTCCATATGTAAAATAATTAGCAACTGGCAATGATTGAAACGAAAATCCAAGCAAATTTGGGCCGGAGAAATCGTCATGCGATTCGCCGGACTCGAACGATGGCGGCACATTCACGGTGACCACTATGTAGTTAGAAATCCTGTTTCTGGTATTCGTAGAGCAGAATCGCCTCACAGAAGAATGATGTTGCCCTGAACATATTGAAGGCAGTAATGGACGGTATTGTTCATAGTGGTCACAGCCAGAGGAACGGCGAGAGCACAATTCCGCATGCTCTGCAAACTTCAGCCTGCTCACATCGATCGACTTAATTTCGGCGCTGTGCGGCTGTAACTTAGGTGTCCAGTCGCATCGTTCAACTGTATAAAATGGATGCAATATGTTCATCAGCTATACCATCGCATTTTAAACATCCAACAAACATTCTATCAGATTAAATCGTAACACTGTATCAAAAAAACTCTCTTCTGAGGGATCCACCGCATCCGAAGTGCGTAGTACGACTTTTATCACTTTTTGCCACATTATTCCGAACTAAAAATAGGACAGTCTCAAAGGTAAAATTATTTTTAGAACTAGCATGCGTCATTTCTAGTATATATCCAGCTAGGCTACCATCGATATAACTCGTTATTTATTTCAATCCATTGCGGTTTATTTAGTGATGGTCTCTTCCAATTTTCTGTGAAATCTCAGTGGAAAAACCGAATAACTAAAAAATAATAATCCAACCCTTCCTCATTAAAGGCCCTGTAGGCCGGGATAATTATGGAAGTGCTGGTTTGAAAGTGGCATGCTGGAAGGTTAAGAAGTGTGAATATTACATAGGTTCAAAAAAGGCAGAATCATCACTCTGGAATGTTTAATTCTTGGATAAAAAAAGAGCAGAGAAGTACCCTTGCATTGCACGAGAACATGAAAAGAATAGGAAACAATGTGTGTCAATTAGAGAAAATATTTTTTTTAATGCTGGTGTGCTGTATTTTTTTTCTGAACTTCACACAGGAATTAGTCAACCTTTTTCTTCCCGAGTATAAAGTACCGAAGAGCTCGCCAAGTTTGGAGCCAATTCGAATGGATCGAAACAGTTCTCGATTGAATCCGTTAATAATTGAATTCATGAAATAGAAAGGAGACAAACTTGGCCATGTTTCGCCTGATTCCGGATCTGCTCCAGAGTCTTCTCAATACTGCGGAGTTGCGCAGCGGGTACGTACTTCTTCAGTGTCGAGTCGAATTCGGGTAGGTCCATGATCGAGTTGAACACTCGCTTCGCATGGTGCCTATGAAGATTTTTTCAAAAGTAGTCTTCCCAACGACCAGCTAATATGACATATTTAATAAAGTACAGTACATCTGGATCTTCGAAGACAGCGACATATCGGACATTCACGAATCTCGGCCGTCAAGAACGACCAAGGCTACTCAGAAATTTTGGCAACCTGACTGCAGTATTATAATGCGTCTTTCACTCTTCAAATTTCTGAAGAGACACCGCATGACTTGAAATGTCTGACGTAAATCTGCCCGGCGGAAGTTTTCGGAAGAAATCTTTTCGCGGAATACTTTTTAATCGAAATATTAAATTTAGTTTAGGAATTACTGCATTGTTTTACCAAAATGAAATTCTGTCGCATATGCACTGCCATATCTCGTTCATCCAAAAATTGTCCGGGACTTATCTTAGGGGTAGGTCACATTTTCAGAGGAAAATGCAAAAAATGTAATAATAAAATTCCAATGTGTGCTGAACGTGTTCGAGATATGATGGATATGGTTTTGGAAAGCTGTTAACGCTGAAACAATCAAGGGCCAGCAGTATAACCATTGCCTCAATAGGTTTCGACAGTCCTCCACGGGATCAGATATTAAAAATATGAAACAATTTCCAAACACCTAAAACATCAAGGAAAATCATCAGACATCTTCATATTTCGGGTTGAAGCTGGATGGGTCGAAAATATTCCTGAATTTGAACTAGGACAACCCTAGTATAGATAGAGTAATATGAGCAGTGACTCCTATCAATACCAGGACTAATTAATGAATGGGCCTTATAATGCTGGACGAACACGATCTCTAAAATCGATCAGCTGCTGGTGTCCTAGGATTCTTACCTGGCTTCAGGATTCCCGTCAGCAACCAACTTGATCATGGCAGGAAGTATTTTTTCCACCATGTCCCGATTCGACCCCGCGAAAAACTTGCTAGGTCCCATGCGGTCAACGAGCCTGGCAAAAAGTCGCGACGTGGATCCTCGAACGGCGTTGTTTTTGTGCCTGCGATTGAATCATTGTCAAAATGAGTGAATATTGAGTGCTTTTCAAGTACTCCTTAGTCTGTTATCGTTCACGGCATCGCTTTAACCTCGACCTGATTGAGATCTGCAAACAAAGTATAGCTGGCCTTGACCAGTGCCGTGGATACGAGACCATACTTGACCCTTCATAGGTTTCGGTCACAGTCGGGCTCGGGTGAAGAACCCCCGAATGTTACGTGATCGGTCATCGTCCCTTGACCTTAGTCGATCAACTTATCCACGGGTCATAAGCAGTTCGCCATGTTTATCTGGCTTATTCTGTCCACTCCATGGTTTTATTCGTGTTTACTCCGCAAAGTTAGCTTTACTCACGTCAAACCGTCCGAGACTAGAATAGACGCTGCTTTCACCGGACTGACGGAATCCACCATTGAATCCAGAGCAATGTTGCAATCTTCTTTGATGAATCTGTTGGTTTCTCCCGTCTTCTGGAGCAGCAATGGGCCAACTTTGTCGAGATACTGTGATTGAGCAACACAATTAGTTAGAAAATAAGTCATACAGTATATCTGAAAATGTAGGGCATCCCCAAAAATGAGACATCCATATTTTCTCGAGTAACACGCCCAGTTTTCTCCACCCAGAAATGTAAACAAAAAAGTATGACGCGCTTCACACTCAACTACAAAATTTTCAAAATACAAGCGAGGCTCATTTTTGGATTATACAGGTGGTACCTCGCAATTCGACCTCCCGCAATTCGACGGTTGAATTTGCTGGGAGCAATTTGACCTAGGACCCACAATTTTACCCACAAAGATGGGCAAAAACATCAAATATGATGTAGAAAACATCACATTTGACGCTGCTTCGCAATTCAACTGCCTTGCAATTCGACCTTAGTTCAGCAACGGATTAGGGTCAAATTGCGGGGCACCACTAGTACTAGAAATAGCAAATAAAACAAAACAAATTACTGCAAAGAGAATTAATTGATCTTTATATGCAATTACAAATTAGAAATTTTTTGCCACTGTGATTCATTAGATGTAAAAACATTTCACCTAAAATCTGGGTGCGTTTTTTTTTTGGGGGAGGGGGAGGGGGATAAGTTGTACACTTGACTTTAAATCGAAAAAATCAAGATGTGCTTCTTATACAAGGGCCAATTGTGTAATAGATCTTGCATTATAATTTTCCGAAATAAAATTCAGATTGTAAGAACAGGAGATTCGTGAATTGTTTCCAAGTAAGTGCTGATGAGTGCTTCGAATATTGTGTTAATTTGCATAAACTTCCAGACAGAGCAATAATAAAATAATGCGGACGGCGAAAGAATGAGGAGAAAGATGAATTTGATTTGGCAGTTGTTCTTGCTCCAAGTGGAAACGGAGGAAATTGGACAGGGCTGATTTCGAGGGTGAAAATTATACAGTTCTTGTCTTGGTGTCTGTTATAATAGTGCTACTGCATATAGGGCTGATTCTAGGACTACACATTTTTTCAGGGAAAACAGTGGTAAAAAACGGCATGAACGAACCGGTTCCATATGCCGTCTTTGTGACGTAAAAATCTCGACGTAGGATTGGATTGCTGCTCGGCAAACTTGCGAACGCAAGTTTTTAACTTGCTTCATTATCAAGTGATTGACGTCTTTCAGATGCTGTGTGACGACAGGGCTGTGATGCTGACAGAGCCGAACCACTTCCTGGACGCCATCCACGTTTTTCTCCCTGAAAAAATCAAATGCGAGATACAATGGCTGAAAATCATATTCAAACGTTCATAACGCATTTTATGAAGTCCAACTCGCATCCAGACATTAAAAGAAAATCTTGACGGAAATTTATCTTTATGTAAGACATGCACCATAATTTTTACTGCTAAAATTGTAGATGCGCGTCTTATTGCATGTGTGCTAAATTGGAGTCGGACACAGAAGAAACATTTTTGGTTCAATTTCAAAGTTGAAAGAGCTGGGAAAACTAAAAAGCTAATGTTGGGATCAAATGGAAACGAGGGAGTAACGTGATTTACAAAAAAATTCCCATTCAAATTGTTGCTGCTAGAAAATCAATCCAAGCACTCTGCAGGCATACAACGTCATATACCGGCGTATGATGTAACACATCTGCATGTTACTCAAGTTTGTGATGCATAAATATATGTTATGCTCTATCATAATCAACTTAATTATGGCCAGGTAAAACTAAGTGCCTCCCTCGCCTTTTGGCAGCAAGAATGCGCCCTGGACGCAGATTTTTCTGGAAGAAAACTCGCACTCTTTAACTTATTGAAGAAATGTATTCTATTCGTGGTTCAGGTTCGATTTTAGAAGACGGTAAGATTCCAGTTTTATTTATTTTGAACGTATTGTGCGTGTGTGCTAATTTCGTTTAATCATACAGATGTCAAGCAATGTCGGATGTATATATAGGTCGTACCCGAGTTTTCGGGCACAACTTTCGGGGCGATAAAAAGCGGCCATAAATCGCGTAAATGTGGAATTCGCACGTCAAAAGTTTGGTAATAGTAAATGGACGTACCAGTCGTCGGAATCCAGTTTTTTCGAAGCCTCTTGCCACCCTATATTAGGGTCTTTGAAAGGCGGTAGATTGTCTGGAAAGCAAGACGTTCTCACAGACGGCGACTTTGATGAAAGATTCCGCATTGATCCCAGCGAGCTTGATACACCCATCGTGCTATTATTGCTGCCCCACGTGTTCGAAACATCGTGAAGGCTTCTTCTAACGAACATGGAACCAAACGAACTTCATTTTACACCGCGATTTTAATTTTTAAAAAAACCATATAAATTATATTGTAGTACTGTATACACCAGGGGTACCACAGATACGACCATCGGGACAGATCCAGCTCATGGAGGCTTTACATCCGCCCCAGAGAGCCAGCATGGAAAGTCGCCACCCAAAAGTGAAAATACCGTACCCAAACACATAAATTGCCAGATCTGAAACTTTTCTTCACTCTCTTTAGTAAGCAATTTGTATGGCAAATTTTATTCAGGCTTCAGTGGGAAACTTTGTCATGCTTGCTTCTGACAAAAAGGACCAATAGAACAGTTGGCACTTCTATCTAGGCATTCTAGGGGATGCCAGTGGTTCTGCTTTTCAAATTCAAGGGCAGACTTTTTTATCTTGGAATTTAAATCTTCCAACAGCACATTGCCCATTGTGTTTTTAATTTAATTATATCCCTTGGTAGAGGAAAGGTGAACAGTAGCTTAATATTTTCAATTGCTTGAACAAAAGCATACCGTAAATTTAAAATGCAAATGTGTGTTCGATTGGCTGTGCAAGTGACAAGAACTTCATAAAAAAACATTCAAAGAAGATTTTGATTTACTGTGCGTCTATCTCATTCCAATTTGAAAGGCAAATGTTTTAAAAGCATCATGGAATGCATCATTCTAAATTCAAAAGATTCAGTACCTTGAAATTAAAAAGTGGGGTTTTCTCCATCGCATTGGCCCACATAATGCATTTTTTTTTCAATGTGGCCCAAGGCCACTTCTGAGTTGGGCACCATTGGTATACATTTCATTAAAATTATTCACTCAGAAGGAAATGGGATTTAACTTGTAATGAGAGTAGAATATCTTCAGATATTGACAAAAAAAAATACCAGATACCAAGAAATACAAAAATAATTTTCAAGCCCTGGATTTTAATAATTCCAGCATGGTATCGTGGTATCTATAAAAAACGGTTCAGTTCTGTATTGCTTCGTGGACTTCGAGGCAGATCAGGGAAAAATAAATTTAATTGAAAGCGTTCGAAAAATCGAATTTTCAATCAAGCAACTATGTTCTTCTTCCAGCTGGAGAAAATCGATCTCTTTAACCAACAGAGGTTTCACGGAAGGGGTCAGCGCTTATTTTCCAGTGCATAGGGCTTATTCAGGGTGGAGCCTGATAAATAGGGGTTGGACTTGATAAATAATTGAGATGTCTTTATATGAAGGGGGAGGTGGGGGGGGGGGGGGAAGTGGGTATTTTATTAAACACGGGTAATTAGGCTCACGATTTTTTGGCGACGACTCCGGAACCTCTTGTAAGCGGTCTTCGACCGCCCGGAGTTTTCGGCGGCGTTTTTCGTTGCTGAACAGCAGCTGCTGCTGGAGGCGGCTTCGGCGAAGCTACTTCTATCACCGGTGGATTAGGACTTTTGTCTGAGACAGATTTTCGACTTCTAATCGAGTTTCGTCTCGATTTCGGTTGCGGTGAAGCTACTGAGGGATTTCATGCGACACGTTTCTTTTTCAAAGTTTAAAATTTTTTAAAAATTATTTGAAATACTCACTATGAACTGGGACTGGAGGAGGAGACAGGGCTTCTGCTTGGGACTGAAGTGCTTTGAATTTCCTGGCGCGTTCTTCGGACGCCTGCAGTTTCCGTTGCTCGATTTTCTGCATGTTGTCTCTTTTCTTCTGGAGGAGCTCGATTTTGGAAAGCATCGTGCTCGAAAGCGTAATGTCATTTGGATTTTCCGCCTGCAACGTCGAAAAGAAAATTCAAATCCAAAACCAATCGGGAATGTCTTAAAGAAAGTTTGTGAAGCGGATATACTTGGTTTTTATAAGTTTCTTGGGTTCATTTATTAATTTAAAATAATTGGTCCTAATCAACACAGTACGGATGCAATACTGTAATATGTTTTTAGGTTATCGCATTTACATAGGTATTGGTCAAACCCTCATTTCCAGTAGCCATCAGAAAAAAATAACCCTCATGCATACAATGTACAGCCCATAATTGGACTTTTCAGCGGAAAAAGTTGGCACGCACTCATTAAATAACGTACATTTTATTGAGTCTATGAAATGTTGTGAAAAGGTGAACGGTATGAAGATTACATTGGCAATTAAAAAAAACCCCCCACGTAATACTGGAATGACCCATGAAGAAGTCATGAAAACAGACGGGGAGGCGGATCTTCTCGGTTCTTCTTCTTTCTGTGGCAATATTCTTAGTTCGAATACTTATCGTATTTATATGTTTTCCATAAACGGGATCTCAATTTCAACATGATTGTGTATACGTAAGTTGAACTTTCTAGTCAAATATTGTGCTGTAATAGTATAAATTTCGTAATCGTCACACATTCTGGGGGTGACCTTGGCCTATAATCGCCTAAATATGGGCGAATGCCTCAATTATCAAGGAAAATCCTTGGATGAAAAAATGAAGCATTAGGTGTTACCCTGTATCATAACCGTTTGAAAAAAAAACTATAAGTGTTGCCGGTTTGTGGAAGAGTTTTGGCTGCCATACTTACTGGAATCTGGTCGAATTCCAGGTCGGAGTCGTATTCATCAACATACTGTCGTCGAGGTCTCGATTGGTAAGAAGGAGTTCTGTTGAGACTAGATTCTTGGTGGATCTGCGGTGGACGTCGTATCCGCCCATGAACTGATCCCGCCTCATTTTCTGCCAAATAAAAAAATGAAATTATGAGGAAATTTATTTGACCGAAGTCTCATTTTGAATACCTGTTTCATATTGAGTTCGACCATTGTTGAATTTTATGAGTCCTAAGGAGGCTGAACGACGTCGTCTATGGTTGTACAATCCATCCGTGGACCATCTGAGAATAAAATGGGACGTACCGGTATTTAATTTCATTTCTGAGGTTCAAAGATGTTACACAGTATTGTATATAATTTCATGTTGATGGGGTAATGGTCGCGGTTTTTTTATTTTTTGGATTTCGTACCCAGTATCATTTGAAGATCCATCTTCGGAGAAAGGAATGTCAAGTGTCTCGAATCTATGTGGTATTCTAACTGTGCCAGAACCATCGTCTTCGGCGTCCTTCCTGATTTGTTGAAGGACTACTTGTCGTCGGAAGAAGTGAAGCATTTAAACTGGATGTCCCCATGTTCCCCCCATCCCTACCACTTCGAGGCAGATCAGGGAAAAATAATTTTAATTGAAAGCGTAAGAAAAATCGAATTTTTAATCAGGCGACTATGTTCTTCTTCCAGCTGGAGAAAATCGACCTCTTTTACCAACAGTGGTTTCACGGAAGGGGTTAGCGCTTATTTTTCCCGGTGCGATTTCATGATTTACTTTACATGGGATTTTGTGAGATAACTGATCGGAATCCTGACGACTGACCCAACCAGAGACCTCTGGGAAGAAAATATTGACGTATTCGCGTCGCATCAAGGGTGGGACTGAATGCGAAGCTCGGAAAATCGGACCCAGAAGACGAGCCCAGTTGTTTATTGAAGACATCAGGCGCACATCCTTTGGCTGCACATGCCCAGAAGGCGGCTTTTATTGAAGGGAAACTAGCTTGACGGCGACAGGACACTTGAACAAACAACGATGACGAGATATGATTTTATCGCACGGAACCGCGAAGTGCGCCGCAAAGCCGTTTTGTTCTTTCTCTCTAATTTTGAAAATTACCCTCCCGATGGGAAATTAATTATAGCTGAGTGTTTTTATTTTTCCCTGCAAACTGAGTGAATTGTCATTCGGCTTAAAGATAGTCATACCGGATCTAATACGAAATCTGGAAAGCTTTGATTGAGAGCCAGATGACATTTGAATCTGCTGCCCTTTCTCATTGGAATCACGCTTTTAGTTCGTCATTCTCTCATGACAAGCTTAATCCGATGCTTTTACTTCGGCCCTGAGACTACAGTAAAGTATTAGAAAAGTTACATCCAGAAAACAGGAAGATATTCAATCGAAAGAAACACATTCATGTTACAGTTTGGGATATAAATTTTGTAGACATGGTCCAGTAAAGCTTCGCTTGTCATTCTTTCAAATGCAAGAGTCCCTGCAGCAGTTGTACTTCATGAGTTGGTTCACTTTGTTCTTATCAAAATTAAAAGAATCGAAATTATAATTTGTGAAAATGTTCGGAATTTCATGTGGGATTCTGCGGATTTTAGAGTTATACGTGGATTCTAGAATCTGCATCGCTGTCCATTTTGAAATTCCATGACATGATGGGCTCTAGATTTCGAAAGCATATTAAGTAAATAAAATTTTGAGTAAAACACGTTGCAGCAATTTACATCGATGGGCACTGAATCTTCTGATGAAAAATGAAAAAAATAATCGAATTAATTTGCATAAATTTCTCTCAAGATATATTCACATGCGGTGATCGTAAAGTACAGTACAGCCTTATTCTTAATTCACCAGATTTCAACCAAAGAGAGGTAAAAATTTCCTTCCACATCTTTTTATTCGTTTTCCATGACCTATCTATGTCAAGAATAAAAAGCATTCGAAGGAATAATTTGCATCGGAGCTGGCACGATTTTAAATTTCAAGACGTCACTGAAATAAAAATTTAAGACATTTTTCAAACGAAGCCTCAACTTATTCGTGATTATCGACAGATCCCACATGTCAGTGTCACAAGCACTGATCGATGGGTTGCCGTTTGTTGTTTATTCACGGTCAACATTCCTGAGTGTGCCTTCAATTTAAATGAGGGAATTCTGACGCACTCATCCGGAATCAACTTCGAAACTCCTGAAGAATGGATTATGGCATGATTGATTTGTAGTAGCTTTTCTCATTTAATTTTTTTCTTTGCAGTATCCTGAATTCATGGGCTCGGTTTACGCAGTGAAAGGTAACGAAAACAGAGTGCAATACTTTACATCCTTCATCACGGCTACCTGATGAAAGGAAGTAAGAATTTTATTGGTTTCTGTAGAAAAAGTAGACAGAAATGCAATCTGTCTGGAATAACGTATGCAATTTTTATGAAAGCAGAAAATGGACGGTTTGAGAGATGCTTTGGGTACGTACTCGATATCATTTCAGTGTAACATTTGTCGGTTACGACGAATGATTCCGCCAATAACTGAAAGACCGAAAGCTTATAACTGCTATGATTGCAAGAAGTCATAAAACATCCAAGTTTTACATGAAGTGGAAAACAAATTACCTTCTCGGATCATATAACACAGAATGCTTTGAACAATAAAAGCACTCAAAAAGCTTGATGAAAGCCCTTTTTGCTCTGTTCACCCCTTTTAAGCATTTATTTTATGTTTTTTTTTTTACCAAAAACTCATTAAAAGTCACTTCGACGAAAGCACTCTTCATCAATCACTAGGGGGCTACCACATCGGTTGCGGATTATTCATTTTCTGTTTATGTCAGTTAAACCAGAGGATATATGACGTACGTAGCCTCAAAGAAGAAGTACTTTGACCGATGAAAAATAGTTGATCGTTAAAAAATTATTTATCTGATCGCCGAGCGATTTTTTTCAAGCCGAATTCAAGCGAACTTATTTTTCAACTAGTTTAGTACGAAAGTATGGGCGACTCGGATCTTGAAGAGGACGGACGCCTCCCACTTCTCATTAAATAATATTTTCCAAATGGATAATGAGAAAATGTCGGGTTGGGAGAAATGACAGTGTCATGGAGAAAACACCTGGTGAAGGAAACGCCGAAGAAGACGATTCAGAGAAGAAAAACGACGGCAGTTAGAGAATGTCGCGAAAAATAAGAGTCTCGGGGAAAGAATACAACAGCCACCTCATTGAAAATGGCTCAAGGGAAAAATTGATACCAAGAAAAAAATAAGCTGGGGGATGCGTCGTGCTAAAAATTTACCGGAACAACGAATCGCGTGGAAGAAAATGTGCCACGCAACAACAAGTAACTTATAAAAAAAAACAGCATTAGACGAAAGCTGTTACAAATATACATTTGCTTAAATTCTAAAGCAACGCCAAGAGGTGGAAAATAGTACTCTATCTTGTTCAACGTTCCTCACCGCGTGGTTTTCTATCTGTGGCATATATTTTCAAAACCGTTGCGTTTCTTCTATCGGCACCCTCCAAACAGATCTCCCGGTAATAAATTGTAAGAATGTCCTTGATCAAGTCATAATTAAACCCAAGGGAAGTTTTTTTTTTTTCAAAAACCCCACGGGGGTTATCGCTTACCTTCTCAAGGCGATCACAGGAGTCAGTTCCCTAGATTCCTTCTGCCCCATGTCTGTCGACCCCCGGTTGACCTGGACTTAAAGTCGCTCGCATCCGAATCGTTAAAATGTAAATAAACCCGACCCGAACGAGGCTCCAATTTGCTTCTGAACGATTCGTTCAAAACACGGATTTCATGAATATTGACGCGAACATATGCGATGCGAGTCGAAACATCAGGTCGCAATTGCTGTGATACCACGCAGTTGAATCATTCACAAGAATCCACGTTCGTATTCGCACGCTCACATCGATCCCTTCCCGGCTGCTCGCACTTTTCGCTTCAAATTTAATTTTTCATCACATCACGACCCTCTTGCTACCTTTTTTTGCACACAATTTGCGTATGAATATCTATTTGCCCGACGTGCGGATCGGGCCAAAGTCTAAGCTGCGACAATTTGATGCGGAATGAGCGAGTAACGCGTTTGGACTGAGCCGATGTCAGAGTTTCCTGGGTCGGAGCTAGAGAGGGAGAGAAACGCGCGGTCTATCGTTCTTCGACTTCATTTGGGGGTTTTCAGGTCGATGAGGTGACCCCCGTTAAGACTAACTTACTTGCAATGTGTGTTTCTCTACACGCCCTCGGGATTTCTCTGCGTAGTACCGCATTTACTCGAATGTACGACGCAATTTTTTCCTCCTCAAATGCGGCTTTGAAAACAATTAGGCCAAGTCTACATTCGATGGCGTCCAAAATTCAGTTTTTCGGAGATTCCTTCAAACCAATTCAAGCTTTTGAATCATATGGGCGTCTACTGTGATCCTCTTAAAAACATATTCGTTTATGAGAATAGGAAAATATTCTAAATATCGCGTGACACCAATTCCACCGGGAATGTATCAAACACAATTTGAGCACAAATTACGTAATCTGTTTTCAAAGAATAAAACAGGCTTGTTCTGAATTTCGGGAGGATCACAGAAGGAGAAAAAGATAGAGATTGATAGTATTTTCTACGCAGATGTGCTAAAAACGCCCTCCTCGAATTCAGATGAATTTAGATGCGAGCGTGTGGGTCAGGAATTCTGGAAATCGCAAGCTGATTGGTTTCTGATCCTGAGAAACCGAACCAAAAATAACATGTCGTCTTACCATCGATGGCGTCTCTTTTATTCGAGTGATTATGCAACTTCCAATCGTCATTTGGCAATCGTAAGCGTTTCGCTTTTGGAGTTTCGATCAATGCGACATTAATATCCGTCCCATCGCGAAAGGTACTCGCGCTGTTGGAAATATATTTCAATGTGATGTGAAAGGTTGGGATCTCGTCGTAAAAATTGTTCCTGTTGTTTACCCATTGGGGATGAAGAAACAACAAAAAAATCAGGTCTGTATGGATAACAGAGGTACCGTGAAGGCTCGACGTGAGTCGACGGATTGCACCGGAATATCGCGTCAACAAAGAATCCATGGAAACGTAGCGAAGGGAACTTTCCGACAAGGCGGCGGCACCAGCAAGAAAAAATCGATGCGTGCGAGCCTCGTTCGCGCGCGGAAATAACCAGTTTTCTCTACTCAATTAACCTCATTCATCGTAAGTAACATCGCCGAAGTTGTGACAGATTCTTCTGGAGATTAGGTCTTTCATTCTGATCAAAAGGAAGTCTTTGCAGATATGCAGCACGCTTTCCTTGTTTGTTTGTTTTTTTCGAAAGGAAGGACTCGCGTCCACGGGTCAAGCTGCTTGGCGTCAAGCCACCCGGACTGACGCGCGTTCCTCCGTCATAAATTCGCGAGGACAAAGGAAAATCCGCCTGCTTTCGGACAATAAAGAATGCCATCTTTTGTAACGCTTCGACCCAAGGTCGACGAACGTCCGAGGCAAGTGATTTGCTCCGGAGGTGACCGCCTTTGGTGCGAATTAATGGCTTCGTGACCCACGTTGGGTCTCATTCATGTCCGGCTGAAAAGTTGCCGTCACGGAGGTCAACTCGGACATGGTTCTTCTGCCGGAATCCGCCGAAGCTGCGAGCACCGATTTTTCGTGGGTGTAAAAAAAAAAATTCGAGATTGGGTCATGCTTGAACATGCAGGCGATATTTCAACTGGAAAATCCTGGCTCATTTATTCAAATGGACATTATAGGGAAAGAAGACTCCTGTATTCCTCCGAAAATAATATCTTACGGCACAATGTTCAGTTTCTTCTCAAAATACACCCGTGTCGAGATTCAGATTGGCCAGTTACCCAAAATTACATAACGGACACTCGCAAAGGTTTAAAATGTTTACTCCTTGAGCACGAATCCTGTTCGAGATTGAAAAGCAGAGATACATTGTAAACATTTCTATATGGTTTTTGTTTATATTTATACTCGTGAAAGGAAAAACTATTCAGAAATTCTTGAAATTAGCTCAAATAAGCTTCTTCATTTCAGCTAAACGCTCTTCCGAGCAGCACACTCTGAAGACGACCAATTTCTATGAATAAGCACTTGTTTACGTCAATAAACATTTTAAATGGTCGGCCTTCTAAATTTAACTTGCACACGTAAGACTGAGGATATTAGTAATGCATGAAATGGAGGCATAAATAATTATATTTTCCGGTATCTCAAATTTAGAATCCCATTTTCTGCATTTCACCGTTTGAAAATTGATACTGTACACCATTTTGTGTTCACTTTGTGGCAATAAAAATCCCTAAAATAAGACCCAAAAAATTTCTTTGGCTATAGGAGGAAACATTATACCAGCGTTTCTCTGAAAACAGGACATCGTAAATAAATTAGCCCCGGCAGTATTTTCCGACAATCTACTCTCGAATATGACTCTAAAACTACGACTTTCACTTAATCACTGTAAATAAATCTCCTGAGGCTTATTCCTTCTCAATTGATTTGCAGATGTCTGAGCCTTTCAAACTTTACAAACGAATACTGTAATGTAATTCGTATCCCCAAAAATGTCAACAAGTTCCGAAATTCAATTTATAGTAATTTATGACATTCATTTATGAAACTTAGCCCTGGTCTATATTTGGAGGGAGATCCTGATGCGATTCAAGACTGATCTTGTTTTCCATCGAACCTATCATTAGATCTGTTGTAGTTTTCGAGTGGCAGAAAGTCACTTTCGTGAATGTGATGGAGTTGAACTAAATTTACCATGCAATCCACGAGCGGACAGAAAAGCGACGAAGTCGACCAGCTATAGGCCATGCGTACGGTATCACATCCCCAAAAGGGGTTTTCCCCAGGGCAAAATTGGGGCTTGGGCTGCAAATAGTCGCATAATGAACGAAGCAAAAACCTTCTTTTCAGGTACGCGGGTACTAGTTTTTCCGAAGAGGTTCGGCAGGGGCCGTATTGTAGACACTGTGATCAATGTCACTGCGGGGTTGCGTGTCACAGTGCTCACCTAGCAAACCTTTTGTGTAGGTTCTTTAAAGCTCGGACAGAACCTGGACTTTCGACTGCAATTTCACTGCAGGGTACTTCTCGTGGTTTTCAGTACCAGCGCAAAAATCGAGCCATATTCAATCCCATAAGACAATGCTAAATTATAATCAGAGAATTCTTTCTTTTTTCACGTAATGCTGTAATTGCAATACTGCAGAAAACGACCAAATTTTCGTTGCGGAGAAGAAAATACTGAACGGAATTTTCGGAAAAAAACTTGTTTGATTTCCGATTTTAAAACCGCGAGTAGAAAAAAAGTATGATACAAGTTCTGCGGAATCCTTTCTTGTAGTCTTCATTGCGTGAAGCTTCAGTCAAGATTATGAAGAATGAGTACGTTACTTTCCTGCTTTGAAACCCATCAGATGCCTACTTAAAAATCTAACGCAGTACAGTTACATATAGTGGTTCATTCGCATGGCTTTTGCTACAAAACTTTTAAGGTGTTGATGCAAGGTTCACGTGACTCGGCGGAAAACACGCGACTAACCCGCAGCCAACGCTGCACTTGCCAGCGACGTCACCAGTCACACAACTTAGAGAAGCACACATTTTGCTTTAAACATTGTTTCCTAGATGTCGCTACACAAAACGCGGGGTCGGAATGAAGGCCCTTCTCGCTGGAAACCTACAACTAGCTGTCTGACGTGAAGCTATCGTACCACAAAATTATTGTCGCAAAAAATTACGAGGACGGGCAACAATACAAAAGAATAGATTCGGAAAAGCTGAAATGATTTTTTTAAAACATATACAGTATACGGATACTTATCGTCACCTGAATCCTGGATTTCATTTCAGCCTTTTTTCTCCGAAACAAGGTTTAGACATTTGATGAGCGTAAAGCAGCAATCATCAGTGAATATTCCATGTAAGTCCCACCCTATAAAAATAGTTCAGTAACTGAACTGATTCAATCTCCTTGGTGTAATCGTCTGCCGAATTTTCAAAATGCTCTATCCAAATCCCTCCAATTTTTTACACTTGGAAATTAAACAGAAATTGTTTTCGGGACAAAAAAGTTTTTTTTTAATTGAAAAGTCCATTTTTTCAGCATTTAAAATTTAAGCATTTGTATGTCTTGTGCTCGATAGGTTTGCACAATTTTCTTCTTTCAGTAATACCTCTGAAATGGAATCGAATTTGATCGATAGTTCCAACCCGCAGACTTCGTCACGAATAGGAAGTACCCAATATATAGAGACATAAAACTTCTGCATTGCTCAAGGGAATCGCGAGGAAAATGGAAAGTTAATTTTTGTACTGAATAAACAATAGATAGAAAAGCATAAAAGTTAGAAACAGTACCTCTTGTTCAAGTAGCGATCATCCTCTTCATCTTCGTCGTCTTCTTCTTCATCGTCAGACTGGACTTCATATTCCTCGTCTTCAGAGCTTGATTCCAATGAAACGTGTTGCAATCTTGTCGGAAGCTGAGCAGCGTCGTGCAATCGCATTTTTTGTCGCTGAAGTCTATCGTCTGGGTCTTCAAGCGGAAGTAGTTTTTCTGTTGAACTCATTCGACGAGAGTCATGAACGTTCGCAGCTCGAAATGTCACGGATTTCTTCCGTTCCGGCGGTTCGTGTTTTGACCGAGCATCGTGGTACTTGGTTTCGTCTTTCGAATGAACGCTCTGCAACACATAGAAATACATACCGTGATTATTTACCGAGTATCAGCGCACAACTTCTTTCCAAACAGATCAGCGAATTAAACCACTGCTATTCTATTGCTGGATTCCATCAGATAAAGTTCGAGTGTGTTATACATTAGAGCACGTATATATCCGGCTTATAAATCTTGTACAAAAAATGAGCGGCTTGAAAAATACGCGATTGAAACCGGACGAAGATTTCTCTCAATCTGACAACCTGCAGTTTCTACACTTGATTGCTTACAATTTCCACGACATCAAACAGGATTGAAGGAACAGAAAAGCAGGTGTTTCCAACCTTCAATTCAAATTCATTTCGGGAAATTTGACGAGACGAAATGCTTCAAGTTGAAAATTTTACGTAATAAAGTACAGTATCAGGAAAATAATGAAGCTCATTCTAGCAGCGTATCTACGAATTTAGCGTGGCGATTTCGAAATACAGTATCAGATACTGTACATATATTAAAACCAAGTATTTTTTGCTTCTGACATTCGATTTTTGTTCTTTTGAAGTTAATACTCGTACGTTCAGATGTCAGGTCTACGTATCTCTAAATACTGTACATGGAACTCTTGCTTTCCACCAGTGCTTGGGAAATCGAAAGTACAGTAATAATTCCTGAATGCGTAGACAATCGGTGTGAATGAGATACTCAAAAGCAAATCTCAATTTGGGGAAGATAATTTTCAAAAAAACCATAAGCTGCAATGCAAAAATAATATAAATCAGAGGAAAAATGCAGCCCAAAAGACTGGTGAATAGTTTCGTGTACTGGAAAACCCTGCCAATATTTCAAGGAATTGTGTTCCCATGGTTTTTAGATCTACCCAGAAGTAAAATGCAGTAAATATGTTTCTTTCAATACACATAATAAAATACAGAGTTGAATCTTATAGTTGGAAAGTGAGAAAAAGTAGTTTATTATTTCTGTTTTTCTTGCAGATCTTCCACGATCACAAAAATAGGCCGCACCCTTCTTTATCGTCCATGTTTTGAAGGAAAACTGCGGCATATACTTAGTGGATGCTGGTAATTTCACACGTTCATCAGTCCACAGGCTCAAAATGGATGCTTGGAAATTTTCAGGTTTTGCCAGTATAAGCGAAACATTTTTCAACAGTTTGGGCAGGATTTTTGTCGGAAATCTTTAATTTTTGCGGTCCTTGTAAAGTTTTCTTTGCAAAATACCTGCCTGGGAATTCGGGTGTGGCTTAAAGCAGCCACTAAAATTCGGTATTTGAGGAAAAGGTTAATCATTCAAGAAAATATTTTTGGATTTTTATGATAGAAAGATAATGAGCTAAAGATGAAACCAGGACATAAATCAGGCAGTTGCTGCAAAAAGAACCAATCAACTTGAAAGGAGGCTTCAACTCTATTATTCACTAGCTTTTCGCTGCCAAGATTCTGGTGTCGAGAAACCCTAATCTCGCAATTCACCCGAAGACTGCTGTGGTGAGGAGTATCCGGCCCTCGCATCCGTTCCCGGCAACTCGCAGACGAAACCCCACTATCCCGGGTGGACGTGCTGCTACCACACTTCTGCGACTCCCGCGCCGGAAGACGAACCCCGTTGAACCTCACAGTGACGTCGTCGTCGTCGTTGTCTTCACTGCAGGAAGACCGATCCTCCGTCGTCATTTCTTCGAGTCGCATTTGAACCATCATATGGTCCTTGTCTGCCCGCGAACCCCGGGGCGTCAAAGGCGGGATGACTGGCCGAATTCCGGAGGAGCAACGGGTCGACGGGTTCGGAGTTAGAGGCATTCGGATGTTCGGGACGCTTGATCCTTCCCTGTCTGACCCCGAGCCCTCTGTAAAACACACAAAGATGTTCAACTATAAACGATTATGGGCGTAACATGATGCTCATAGTTGGCAGTGATTGCAGCTCACACGAAAAAAAAACCTCGCTCAACTCCTATCAATCCTTCCTGCGTTGGAGTTCTATCAATATTCCGTCTCCAAAGATTGTTCACATTTGACATGATAAGGCACCAGACCAAAAATTCCGAATTGAAATAAAAGCCGGAAAATACGTTTTTGTTCGCAGGAAATAAAGGAGATGAAAGGTCACTTAAAAAAAAGGCACTAGAGAAAATGTGTCCAGGGTGGATCGTCATTTCTTTCGACGAAATCCAAAAAGGATCCATATCGTTGAACGGAAATTGCTAAAACCACTACATAATGGTGTTGAGACACGAAGCGTCATGTCTTATCACATGGACAAGAACATGTTGTCTGATATTAAATAAACAACTTCAGATCAAATATATATAAAAGAATATATTTTATTCACAACCAAATTTGTT